CTTTATGTAATAAGATAGTGACCACTTCAAAATTATTTCGAAGGTCTTGTATGTCATACAAGAGTACTTACTTAAAAATTAGAGCACCTGATGGGCTCCGCACGTGTGTTTTATGTGTGGGTGTTGTGGCATCTAAGAGCAGCTGGCTGTTAGATGTACCTAGTTTAGTGCAGGAGTATCTCAGGGTGTGTAGGAGTCCAAGTAAAGTCTTCAGTAGGTTGTTTTAAAGTCAGTTTGGAATAGCTCTATAAAGGAGCAATCTTGTAATAGTTTCCAGCCGCCACCAAATGGTGCATTGCCTGCTTTCTTTACAAAGGGGGTTAATGTTCACTGAACAGTATTCCAGCTTGCGGCAGCTGGAAATAATAAGATTCCTCCTTTATAGAGCTATTCCAAACTGACTTGAACAAAACCGACTCAAGACTCTACTTCTAATAGGACTCTACTTCTAATAGGACTCTTTACACACCCTGGATACACCGCACTAAACTGGAGCCATCTAACAGCCAGCTGGAATCTCTTAGATGCCACAACAGGGCATGTGTACCTGCGCATGTGAAGTTATGCATCCTTAGTGGAACTATGTCCTATTACTCACAAACAATACTCCTAATGTTTGATGTCTATGAATCTTGACCGAGTGGATGGGTGCATGCGGACTAAGTCCTGTTGCATTTAATCTTCAGGAGAGGATTGGTGGAACTCTTTGGCTTACTTGAAAAAGGAGAACTTATGGAAGGTCCTAAGCTGTCCTCACTTGTTACTAAAATGCACAAATACAGGTGATTTGATTTTATTGAATATATGAGAATGTTAAATATCACATGCACATTGCTTCTGTTCCACACTTTATGGATTGTACTGAGTTTGCATCTCTGTTTTTAGGCAAGGCACCCCAAGGAAGAGATATGCGTCCTTGCCCGGGAGCAAGGGCAGAGCACGTCTTAGGACTGAGGAATCCTTTTATGAAAACCCATTCCCGGAGTGCATCTGCCTGACTGGGAAGCATTGATGTGATGATGGTGTTAAGGTATGCCACTGTCCTCTAGCAGCATTATACTGACTTGTTAGTTTGGAGGTAACTTTATTTGTCTCTTCAACCTTCTGACAACTACATGAAAAGTATGTGTAGTATGAAGACCTAAGTACAGAAAAAGTTGTCCACTTTAGAGCAATTTTTAAGATATTGGGAGGGGAGGCCCCTTCCCACCCTAGAGTTAACTTATTTGTTCTAGCTTGCCTGTGAATATCGATTTAATGATAATGCTTTCAGCAACTCTAGCATAATGCTGGTCCTTCTATGACTCTGATTGAGATTTTCCTTTTAGGTTATCCATGAGGTTGTTATGCATACACCATTTTTTTTTTTATGTTGTAGTTGCTGCTCATATCATTCTGTAGCCATTTGTATTGCTTTATTCCATCAAACCTTAGCATATCTTAGAACCATTTGAGTGAACTTTGAACTGTTCTTATTTGCAGCTACATACTGTCACGTATACTGGAGCTCTAGTGATGCCTTGAAAGTTGAAATCACACTTATACTCCATGACGCGTTCACACGAGTCAGGCAAGGGCATAATTCTTTCCCTGATCTAGATGTAAGAACCCTATATGGAGGCCGGCAAGTGTAGTGAAACAACTCTACATGTATCAGCCTATCAGTTCATTGCCAGTCATATAGATTTGACCTGTAGTAGGCTATAGCCAAGGAAGCTTCAAACGTGCATTTATGTGTTTAGGCCTGGAAGTTGTTATATGCGCTCACGAAGGCACCTTTAGATCTGAATTCTTACTGTAACTAGAAGAGGAAGCTTACATACAATGTTCAATTTCTTCAGCTAAATAATCATCGTTACAAATGATGTGTACTTACCCTCCCTTTACATAACGGCATCCCTCATTTTCTCTAATAATAAACAGATTACGTGATGAACGAACCCAGTGGAACCACCCTAGACTACGCGGAATGATTCTGCTATTTGCTTCAGATCCTTGTAATGCCTCTTCCATTGTAGCCCTGCAAAAGTTACACAATTCCTTTTCAAGATGAAAAAGGTGACCATAGAAATCAACACCATATAGTGATAAGGAGAGTTATTTCACCGTTTGCAGTTACGCTGAACAGGTAGAGTCTATTCCCAGCAGCCGTAGCCGTGATGAAGATGTGAGGTGGTTCCAGCTCGAACTGGTAGTAAGTTCTTCCGGAGTACTCAGCTGTGGCTGTGGACAGAACCTTCCCTTCCACATTCTCGCCGATGACCTCCGGTCCAAAGGCGTTGATCACCTTCTCCGGCGTGCCGATCTTCTCGATTGTTGCATCGTCAAGGTCATCTGGGCAGTTTGACCATGATAGTCAGTGCCGTGAGGCAGTTACCAGGCTACGAAATATGCCAGGAAAGAAAAGTTTCTTGAGGGCTCACCTGCAAACCTACGAGTGGGCGCTACGATGACAGATAATCGGCCCTCCTTGGGGTTTCCGAACCGCAGGTCGATCTCCGTCCCACCAAGATCAGCAATCGACACTGGTGTCTAAATCAGAACGTGGTTTTTGCATCAGAATGTGTGACTGACTATGTTCTGAAAGCTGGATTTCTGTCAGTAGCTCCAGTTCTCACCTCTTCCCAGCCATCAGGAACTTTGAAGCTATACGGGATGATCGGGCTCCAGCCGACTCCGTGGCCGCCAGACTTTTCGTCCGGCCTGCGGTATGTTTTCCAACCTATCTGAACAAATTACATCCTTATGACATGCACCATGAGAATATGAAAGACTTCCTTTGAACTGAACTAGCAAGAACAAAAACATCCTACTAACACATGGAATTAGTAGATCAAGATGGCAGCAAGAACCAACCATTCTGATCAGGGCCAGACAGCCCCGGGATCCTCCCTGCCAGCGGGCCCTGCTTGGCCGCCGCCAGGCCATCGCCTGCAAAACCAAGCACCGAAACTCCACAGGCTGCCGCTGCAGAGGCCAGTGCATTTCTCCTCCCTACCAAGGCCACCATCACCCCCTCTCTCTCCTCCTCTTCATGTGGTCCTGACAGGGTGGGCCCACTGCCGCACCTCACAACCGCAGGAGCCCTCGCCTTGGTAGGGTGGGCCTGCTTTGTGAGGAACAGAGAGGAGGAGGAGGAGCTTGGCGAGAAGAGGGCCAAGCTGCTCATCTTTCCTAGCTAGAAGTCTTCCTGCTCCTCCTGCAGGCTGTGTGATTCGGCTCTGCCTGTTGTTCTTGTGCACTGCTGCTGCTGCTTCTGGTTTTGCCTGGAGAGAATTATCTCTTTTGTTCGGTTCGTCTTCATCATACGTACTCCACACGGGCTGTTGTGGGCCGCAGGGGATGAGTGGCCAGGAGGGTTTGAGGGTTGAGACCAAACATCTCACCTCTACCGAGTTTGTTTTCACTCAATGGGAAATCATTTTTTACTTTTGCTGATATCTGAGTGAATAAATAAATGCATAAATATCAGCAGAGCAGGATGTGTGCTTCCTTGAGGCAACTTCCCGTCAACATTGTCAAAAACAAGTTTTTCTGATTATCTGATAGATAAAAGAAAACTATTAATATGAACCACACGCCAGGGAAAATATCATTCTGGCAGTCGCTGGAACATGCCACGATGGTCACACGCAGGCTAACCAGTTAATTAATTTCTCTGGAACCCTAAAAAAAAAGAAAATTCTCTGGAAGCATACACGCACTCCTAATTTTTAAATAAGTACCCCGCTTAGCAACGCAATCCACATGCCATATCGTGCTGACACCTGACATCTTAGCTACGCGTACATACGCGGTCCGTCGCCGCGTAGACCAGCTGGATTTGAAAACCTTCGTTTGAAAAAAAAATTAAAAGACCCGTTGCGAACTTGGATGGTTAGAGGCACTGTGGTATCCCAGCCCACTAGGGTTTAAATCCTGGTGCTCGCATCTATTTCTGGATTTATTTCAGAATTTCCGGCGATGCGCATTCAGTGGGAGGAAATGTTCCCGTCGACGATGAAATGCCTACGATGACTTCATAAATTTTAAGATGATATGCCGGCTTAGTTGCATCTGTACCGTGTTAAAAAATTTTAAAGACCTGTTTACTTCTTCTTTTTTCTGAAACACGGTCACTTAGGTCCTGATTCATTAAAAAAAAGGATCGAAGAGAGTTGCCCAGTTAATTAACGAAAAACCAGGCAAAAATCGTCACAAGATGCCCGTAAAAACAAGGCACACAGGTCGACCTAGCAACCCACACAAGAGCGCACACACGCCGTCGAGGTTGCAATCCGGTGTCATCGTCATCACACCTCCACGTGGGCGAATCCGACTCCACCATCAGCGACCATCGAAGTACCTCACCGCAAGCAAGCGCTGAGGCCTGCGCCGGTCAATGCCAAACAGCCCACCGCACGTGCCGCCGATCAGGCAGCTCCAACTCTGTCAACTAGCAATGCAAGGGAAAAGCAATGGGCCTGCCACGAGCCGGCACCGAACCAATGCAGGGGAAAGACCTGTTTACTTCTCCTTATGCTTAATGTTTTAGCTTAGTATTACTTGCGTCTTGCGCTATCACTAGTCATATCGTTCTGATTTTGCGCGTCTTTCTTTCCTTTGTTTTACCAAGATTGGTATCCATTTCTGACTTCTCCAGAATCTTTGTACGTGCGTGCTTATGTATGCATCTGGCTGGAATTCCTGCAGAAATAGGAACGCGGGATGCCAGCCAGAGGTCGCGGTCTTTACAAATTCTCCCGCGACTGTTCCTGGGGTTCAGATTGATCAGCGCGACAGCGAAATCTGCAAGTACACGAAGAAAAACGGGGGAGGCACCGTCGTACCGCATGCGATCACTATCGCATCTCTTGATCATTTTGCCGGAAAAACTTCACGTTCTGTCATTCTGTACCTGCAGCAGTGTCACATTCATAATTCATATTGCATTTGCCTGGCAGAGGGGTGCGCAGATAGCGTCCGCCATAGTGCCGTTCCTGGTAACCAAGGAACGTAAGCTGTCAGGGCGACGCTCCGTTGCTACACCCCTTTCGCTGTGCACCGGAATTTATTTCGTGGATGCACCGTTCCAGGTCCATTCCGGCAAGGGGAGTGCAATTAATTTGTTCGTGTCGCTGTTCACTTATCTTAAACCGACGTGCACGCTTATCTACCAACGTATCATGTTTGACCATTCAGTAGATCGACCAGTCGTCATAATCAGATATGCAAAATCTGATTTCGTTAGCCTTCGAGCATGAAGTGCCATTCTTAGGTCGCGATCATTTCACACCGGTAATTAATCGAGCTGCCAGTTGGCACAACTATCATTATTTGTCCAGAGTCTGGAAGCAAAACAGTTAAATCAGCTTGTACAACAGAGTGTAGATTGAGGACATCATTTACTATGTGCAGTGTAGTTAGCCGACATAAAATTATGTTGCCCCGCAAAATGGTAAAATGGTACGCCGTAAGATAGAAAATCTCGAGTTACCATGTGAAATACACCCAAACACAGCCTTTTACTTATCTTATTATAAAAAGCAAAAAAAAGTATGGCCTTTTCTAGTTTTACAATGAGAAATAAATAGACCAGCACATACAAAATTGTTCTGATATAGAAAACAACATTTTCATAAATTGGCATCCATCTTATTTACACATTTATTTTCTAGTGTGTTAAAGGGCAGCTTATCACCGCAACTTGGGCTAATGCTCGGACATCAAGAATAAACTAACAGTGGTAACCGGCGAGATGCTCTACCAAAGTTACATTATGTATCTATAGTTCTATATATGGAAAAGAACTAAGTCAGGGTCTACCCCTTTTGGAATGCTAGCAATCTGATTACTAATATCCGGCATGGATAGTGCAATTTTCTTGGCACTCTCTAAGTAGCTCTCGAACTTCTTATGATTGACCTCAGGCTTGTCCATCTTATCTGCAAGCTTTGGCTGTTCATTTTCGTGCTTCAATGGTTCTATTCCAAGAGACAATTCCTCCCTCATGAGGTGGTACTTGACTGCCTGTTTCCGAAAGTTCCAGTTGCCAGCGATCCAGTCGAATTTGTACAAAGGGAGCAAGCGGTGTCCGTATGTCGCTATGAACTCGATGGCCGAAAGGATGAATTTAAACTCCTCTGTGGAGAGGTAGTAACTAAAGCTCAACCTGGTCCATCCTGGCTTCAGTCCACTGTAACCCTGAAATTTTTGTGATGGCAAATAGTAACATTAGTACCTTGTACTAAAACAAGCAAGCTGGCTGTTTTGACCATTCATTCTAAAGTTTGTGATACCTCAAGGACAGCCGACCGAATGCGAAGTGAGAGCTCGTCATCGACATCAAGCAAGATGTGACCATAGGGACCTGCACAAGCACAACCTCCCCTCGCCTGGATGCCAAAAAGATCGTTCAAAAGCCTAGTCACAAAACGACCGTGGAGGGGTAGTTGCTTGCGTCTCATCGTCTCCAATGATTTATCACAACTAGGCTCACCAAAATCATCAAATGGCTTCTTCGTCACTATCACTGATGGGTAGATTAGGAATGAGAAGATTGGTAGACGATGAACACTTGTGTTGCCTAGCACCCTAACGTTTGGATTATGGGCAAGCCTTTTCATTGCCACCTCTGAGAACACTCGCTCACGAAGGTCCATCGTGTCATAACCAACATACTCCTTCACCCAAAATGCAAGTGATGCACGGATCTTTTGTAATATCGGCGGTGTGCCAGCATCCTCCCGCTCCTCTATATCGTTGTAGTACAATGTATCCTGCACATATCATACCATTAGTTATTTATATTATTATTTATGGTAATACCGCGAACTATTTATGGCACACAACACAAATACCGCACATATCACACGAAGTACTTGACACTGATACTTAATTTGTTTGCCCACCTCCTCATTGAAGCCATTGACATAGGCCACTGTGCCACCTCCGCACGTCGATGGAGGCTGAGAATTGAGCCTATACAGGGATTTGTTCATCAAAAGGATGCCCGGCGTGCCAGGCCCCCCGACAAATTTGTGAGGGCTCAAGAAAACGGCGTCGTACCCATCGACTTCACCAGACTTCATATCAATCTTGACATAGGGTCCACTGCACAAAGGAGGATAGTAATTTAAGTTTCTGGACGTAGTTTGTTGGTTAACACATAAAATAGTATTGTTTCAAAAAAAAAACACATAAAATAGTAGACATTAAATGAAGCACCAGTTGGAATGCCGACAAGTTAGAAATTCAACATCGTAAGACAATAGGATATGGAATGTTTCCAAGGGGTCTGTAAAGTCAAAATATTTTGTTGTCATGGTGCTCTAATGTAATTATTAACTGGGCTTTTTACCAGCTAATTTCCACCTCTGGTACTAAAAGAATCAGCTTGCTCCAACACGCAAGCAACATTGACCATGTAGTCACAGTTGATCTTGCATTTGCCAAGTATATAAATCAGCACATAACATAAGTCAATGTGAGATCATGTCTGAACTAGTGTTTGGATCAGTTCGGGTGCTGTCGTGTGCGTGTCATTCCCATTATTTTAATGCAAAAAGGAGTAGAAAAAAGTTGCTATAGTGCTGACAAGGCTAGTGTGACCAACGTTCAAGAACCTTGCAGGTCATTGATTGTTACATCAGCTGTTTCTTTTTGAGTTGTTTATTTTCTTGTTATGTATGATGCAGAAACAAACAGCAATTTTGAATTAAAAAAAAAGTAGGACTTCCTTAGAAAAACGGTGGTAATTTCTTCTGTGGTTATCTTTGATTTTTTTATTTATTTTGATATTTGGTAGTAGGTTCGACAATAACAAACACATGAACTATGTAGTTTTGAAAGAAATGGAGTTTTTAGGCTTTGAACAGAAATAGGTAGTAAAGGAAGGGCTTGTTTTGTAGTAGAAAATATTACTCTATGTAGGAGCAGAAAAGAACATATAGTATACTAACATTTTGTAAGAGCTTAATAAGACCAACTATGGTCGTTAGCTTATTCATAAGAGAGAATGGAAATCAGATTGTCAAATCCATGCAGGTCACATGCGATCCACGAAAAGGAGTGCTAAGGAAGCAAGTATCAGTGTATCACAGGTGTTACTCACCTCGCGGCGAAGTCGAAGCACGCGAACGCGCCGTGGTGGTGCAGAACGCGGGCGATCTCGCGCGTGTCCGTCATGAC